AAAAAAAAAAAAAAAAAAAAAACTGCGTATCACCACAGCCTAAGATAGGAGAGACGTATTTGGGACGTGTTTGGCAGTATAAAGCAGATCATTAATTGGGAGTTCACGCTTCGCGCCTTCAATTTTTCAGATGCAAGACGGTAATCCATCAAGCTCGAATAGTCGTATCTCTTCGCCGTCATCCGCGCGCCTCCTTCCCGTTGCTTTATTCCACATTGTGAAGGTTCCGCTGAAATTCTGCAAACATTTTTGAAAGAATTTCAAAAGCCACTCTAAGAAACTTTTCTTCACCTGTGTTTCAAAGGAACAATTTATGTATTAACTTGTTAAGAACTTTGCCTGACGTCACACGCACGATTGTCTGTGAAAAATCTTCGTGGCTCCATTTTAAAGTGCTGTTTGAGTATATGGATTTGACTGCTACTTGATGGTTTAAGCGTTTTTACCACCGAAAATCGCAGTTACCTCACATTATTAAGTTCCTCCTTTTTTTAAAAGCACCTAATGTTTTACAGTATTTTAGATTCGAAACTCAATCAATTCTTTTGCATGGACCTTAGGACGTTGGAAAGTAGTTCGGCTCTTAAAGTTTTAATGGCCAAATTTGGAAGGCTATAACGGTATACTAAAGTGTGAAACAAGATTTATTTTATGGTCGTACCAGCTCATTTGTAATTGCAAAAAGACTCGGCTGGAGTTGAGTCCTGCACGCTCTTTAAAACTCGCTTTCATTTCCACTTGGCTGGCAACTTTTCTCACCTTTCAAGTTCAACTTCCACTTCATTTAACGTTGGCACTCCAAAGAGAAGAAGAGGCAGCGTTTACCGCCAAAGTTTTTCTGACATCCTTGCAACTTTCTGTTGGAATAGAGAAGTGCTTAAACTCTTACCCGACACGAAATGTCTTGCAGCACCTGTAGTGAAAGGCCCTTTGACTTGACAAACCCCAATGCAGCGTGATGTATAATTAAAGACAAGCCTTGACTAAAATACAGGGAACTGATGATGGAGGGGGACTAAATTATGCAGTTTTTGTAAGCATCTAATTTTAACTCGCTCTTCCTAATAACCTGAAAAGGGAAGGCATTGCCATCGGATTTTACCTATCACGAAGAAAAATGAAGTGCGGGAAAACTGTTGAATTTACGTGGATGTATGATAAGCTACGTGAATATAGATCAAGTTTAACAGGAAGCATACGCGGATCCAGAAAGGGGGCGTGTGCCCCCCTCCCCCCGTTCGCTCGAATAGAAGGAGGAAGAAAAAGAGAAGGAAGAAGGAAGGAAGGAACGGAAGAAAGAAGAAGGAAAGACGCATGTATTTGGAGATAATTCATGACGAAATCGACTCAAACTGCATATCAAATGCTTCCAGAATTCAGAAATATCCTTGGAGAGGCCCCCGCACCCCCCTTTCACCCCCCTCCGTTTGAGGTGTCTGAATCGGCATACTACAGAAAGAAATCGAATTTTTTTGCCTTAAAAAAGGGTTAAAAACAAATAAACAAAGGGAAGCAGCCCCTTCCTAGCTCACAAGAACCACACTGCGCTAGGAAGCATACCATAGGTAAGAATCATTATGACATTGGCTGATTGCACCTGATGTAAGTTTCACGTGATACTTATGCCCTTTTGTAAATGAATAATGCGATTAAGAGTAAAGGGATGTAACTTTATCTCAACTTTTTTATCCTGCAGTCAATAGATACCTGCAAAGTCTCTCTGCATTTTCGTGTGCATCCTTATCAACACTATAAGCTCCGAGACCACCTAAATTTGCATATCTGGAAACGCTTAGTTCTAGCGTTCCACCGGGCCGATTACCATGATTTTGGCGGCTATCGACAGGTAAATGTCTCTAAATGAGCCCGCTCTATTTAGACTTTGAAAATATGACCCAATTTTTTTTATATATATTTCGTGGTAAAGTTGTGAACTCTCCCATTTTAACAATGTGAATTTTTATTTTTTGTCACAATTCGTTTGAACGTTCTACTAGGCCGATATATCCATGATTTCTGCAGTTATCGACAGATGATAGTTCCTAGATGATGAGTTAGCTGTAATTAGATTTTGGAAATAGCTCCCAGGTTTTTTTTAATATAAAAGTAACCACGGAGCTTAAAGGGGGGGGGGGGGCAAATTTGAACAGAGCAATAAATGTTGAATCTTGGTCTGTTAGTAGGGTAAGGTAAGTGAATCGAAGGTGTGCTCGCTTGCTACAGGGACGGACTATCCAAAAGCGGCGAAACGCTCCGTTCCATTCGTTTCGTTTCGTTTTAGTCTTGGCGTGAAGTTTGAAATCAATGACGATTTTTTCATACGATTTTTAGTGGTCCAATCGCTTCCGGGCAGGGAGATAGGACAAATGAGAGTTAGGTATGACATTTTTTTTTTTCAATTTTTTTGGTCGTTCTTTTGTCGAAGCGGGCGGGCCTAAGAGAGCGCGATGCGCGAGTAGAATCAAATAAGTTTTGCTCTTGGAGCCATCGTTTTGTAAAAAAGTGACTTTAGTTATTTCAAGACTTCAGGATGTTTTCTGAAGTCCTCATACTCTTGGAAAGTCGATTTTAATAGTGGTCAATCTTCTTTTTCAACAGAAAAAAATTTTTGGCCTCTTTTATTGCTGGAAGTTAAGTTTTTTTGTCCGTACCGTAGACCAATTAAACAGGCTTGTTTTTCTATCAATACGTGCGATAATAATACCGTTTTAAGTTTTTTTGCACTCAATGAGATATATTCTTGTAGAAGAATAAAAAAAAATTTCCTTCAAAGTTTTTACTTCCAAAATTTAGCACCCAAATTGCTCTAAAGTCCGATTTATAGAATTTTGCGCCATCATTTTTCTCCCATAAAAACCGGGAAATGTAATTATACGATTAATTTTAATTAATTTCTTTAGAACTAACTTAGAAGATGTGGTAGACAACTTTTTTAAAGAATTTCTACAGGTTTGCTCTTTTTAAAGCTACAAATTGTACAATTTTTTACTGGTCTACGGTACAGGACAAGAACGTTACGGTACGGACAAACGGGCTGCGGTAAGGACGAAGAGGCATTCGTAAATATTACTGTATGCAAGGGCCGAATTATAAAGAACTGAAATTCATCGGGGAATAAACTGTTAAGTTATAGCATAGCTTATAAGTGCCACTTTTATAAATAATTACAGGCAATAAAGGTAAAAAGAGTAAGTAAATCAGTTTTTCAAAAATAATGAACTGCTTTTATTTTAAAGTAAACGCATTAAATAATTAGGGACAAATCTTAGAAGCTGAGTTCTTAAAACAAGCTTGACAACGTTAGAACGTTTCAGGTGCACTTTTACAAAATGAGAAAGAAAACAAAAAGGTAAATTTATCGAAAATGTGGTCACAAATCACCTTAAATAAATATTTAAAGGACAATAAGAAAAAAATAAGTTAGATATTAACGAATAAATATTAAACGAATAAATTGCTATGAACTTCAGACGAAAAAGAGGACTCAAAGTTCTAAAAGACAAAATGAAAAAAATAAAAAGATGGCGATCCTTATGCAATCATCGAAAAAAAAGCCTCCTTCTTCTAAGTCGCGTCGTACTAAAAAAAATACGTCTCTCTTTTTTTTTTAAATTCCAAATTTTGGTGATAGATAAAATAAAGTAAAGTGGGATGATCTATCAAACAGCGCACCGATTTTTGGATGACTTTCGCATTTTGTCCGTACTTACCGTAGACCCGGCCGCATCGCGCGTCAGCTACGGGCTACGGTACCGGACGGCTACGGGCTACGGTACGGACGGCTACGGTGCGGACAAATCGTGTGATTATTGGCAACGGTGCTCGGGCATATTCACGCATGTGGTTGAAATTCTGGATTTGAGGTTAAGATATCAGAGTGTATCAAAAAATACCAAAATTCGAGAGTTTGAAGTGATTTATGCATTAAAAAGGTAGGTATACGGTAAGGACATCCTAGATGGTCGTTAAACCTAGAAACTCATAAAAAACGGTCAAAATTTACTGTTTCATTGCGGTTTTTTTTCCTCTGCTTGACATCAGCGTGTGATAGTCACGATAACACAAAAAAAGTAAACAAAGTTCATAAGTGCTGCACTGTAACGGACGAAATGATGCTGAAAAAAGGGGGCTACGGTACAGGACGCAAATTCCGCAGACAAGGCTGCATGACGCAAAGACGGTCAATATTTTCACTTATTTGGATGAATATAACTGAAAATAATAAGTTAGGTACAAATTGAGTGTGAATTTACAGCAGAAGTGGAAGTATTTAGATGCAAGATGATGGTTATGAAGCGTTAAAGTTGCGCACTTGAGTCGCAGACAGGCTACGGTACAGGACATTTCAGCTGTTTAGGGCCAAAATTCTGATATTAAATGGCAAAAACTGCCTAAAGCAATGTTGGGACCTGATTAAGCGTAAAATTTTGAACAAATTTAAAAAAAAAAAGGTCAGATTTTTCCATTTTGAAGGGCTAAAAAGTTGGCAGACATGGTAGAGCAAAACTTATTTGATTCTACTCGCGCCCTCTGGGGGCTGGGCCGCGCAAAGGCCAGGGGGCATAGCCCCCTAGTATAACATATCCTATTAGTCCAGACCCATTGCACGATGCATTTTTCCGAAACTGCTAAAGTGACCCAGCGTATTTTGTTTGAAATGCGGTCAACTCACCCAACGTATGTATCCATTTGCTTGCTTGATGCAGTTAGAGACTAAGAGAGGAACTAACTATTTGTTTCAAAGCTTCTGACCTCTGTATGTACTTGTGCTGCGGACTAATGGAAAAGGAATGATTTTCATCACCAAATTCTTTATGTTCATTCCTAAAATTAACTGCACAGTCCGCAATGGTCTCAGAGGTTGTGGTGGGAGAGATAATGAAATGCGATGATGACATGCTAAGAATGAAAAGTGAAACCGATAATTCCTGAGAAGCTGAGGATAGGCAAAGATGAGAGGAAAAAAAAGAAGTTAAAAACTATGTAAAAATACAACTTACTATCCTCTCCGTGACAAGGCATCCCAGGGGAAGCGGTTCTATTTGGGAACACTGAAACAGAAAATAAAAGCACTGCTGTTAGTAAAAGCTCTGAAAGTTTCGGTGGGAGACGTGCATTTTCAATAAATAAAGAGCTTCAAGATTTGAAGTCAACAGTGACTAAAAAGCAGCATTGAATTATTAAAATTTCACTGAAAAAAAAAGTTTTGCCCAATTTTAAAGCCACTTCATAATTTAATACATACAACGATTCCTTTTCGTGCTGAAACCACATGCCACACTGTAAATTCTATAGAAATAATTTAAAATTCCACACTTCTAGCTTTTGGAGACCGTTTGCATGAAATCCGTTGTCCTTTTCAATAAAAAAATCGATCAAATGAAATTATGGAAAGGAAAATCTAAGTTAAGAGGAAATGGGCTAAGACTTGCTCATTATGTTCTTTACTTTTTGCCCCTCACATTGTTGAAAGGAGAGGACGAAGTTCAAAAAAAAAAGAAAAAAAAAAAAAAAAAAAAAAAAAAAAAAAAAAAAAAAAAAAAAAAACTCGAGGACAATCCATAAGGAGATTACGGCTTGAAAATGGATGGAACAAAAATTAATCTACGAGCTGATTGATTCGCCAGAGTAAATTCAAAATAAAAGACCGCCATCATGCACAGTAACACTCAGTCAAGAGTTTTGGTTTTGATCGTTTCGACAGCTTTTTCTGACAGCCAACACCGTCCTTTACAAATTGTTTTGTATCTCGTCCCTCACATGTTGCCGAGAGACGCGAGATTTTAAGCTATATGTGGCCAGTGTAATCACAGTTTCCCCAGCATTTTTTCTCTTTGAATGAGGTTTTCTCTTTGAGGGGTGACAATGAAAAGAGAGGAGAACAAAATACCTTTATTCTTATGAGGCTTGATACCTATTAAATTCCCTTTTTGAAATCCCAGTTGAAAACACTTATTGCTCTCTGTAGAGTTTCGGAAATTGTGTTCTACTGGTATTGTGTTTCACCCTCTTGACGCGTCCTGCATTTTTGATGCGTTTTGCGATCGGACTATGAACTGAGACCGGTTTGGGGCTTATCTGCTTAAAAGTTCCTTCGAGATTGACAAGAGACATCTTGGTGCTTATTGATTTTTCGCGGAGGAAGTCCTTTTAATCATCATTTCCTCGTCTGATTTCTTTTTGAGATGACGGAGAGCTCTGTTTAATAATCATGGAGTTTTGGTTTTCGTGACCAGAATCCGACCTCATCTGGACGGTGAGAATTCCGTTTAGGCAAAAGTATATCCATTAAGTAATTATTAACAGAATCATTTTTTAAAAGAAAAGAAAAGAAAAAAAAGTGCCACCTGTGGAGACTAAACAATTGAAGCGCTGAGTGCAGAAAAAACATTTCTTGGTTGCAGTGTCTCAGGATCTCCGTTAACGTTTCGACCACTATGATTGGACGTATTTCTGCTAAACGGAACTATGGGCATTATGGCGTGAGCCCTGTTATGCATGAATTCGTATGGGTCTCAGGGCTCATGTCTCAATGCACATAGTCCCGTTTGGCAAAAATACGTCCAATTCAAGCAAATGCACCAAATTCATACTTACGGGCTATAAAGACAAACTGTCCACGTTCCGGGCTCAGAGGCCGAAAGTTCCGGGCTCCAGCATCCGGAACTTCCAGCCTCTGAGCCCGGAACGGAGGGTATGTCTATGAAGCCCGTAACTGTTTCTTCAGTGTAAAATAAATCACCGTGCCACATCGGATTTTGGGAAATGGCCGGGATTGAAGCACCCTAAGAAGACCCCTAATCCCCATAATTGTAGAGAGGATGGGAGCGAAAAAGCACTAATGTCTGCAAAGACAATGCCGGTCGGGGCGGAATGCACTTTTTATTAGTCTCCGAGAGGAATTCCGATCCGGAGAAGCGCATCATTTATTTTTAATCTGGCAGAATAAACACAAATAAAATCAATCAATCCCGTCGGCTGCATCGTTGCACCCCCCTCCCTGCGCCCTTTGCGCCCCAGCGCGGCGCTCGCTCGATTAAAAAGCGAAGCGAAGTCTCTGGGTGCGCGTTTTTTTATGAACCCGCTCATTTTCCTCAGACATCATTATTAAATCGTGTTGCTATTGATTTTATAATCAACGGCTGATCTTTTGTTTACACTGTCTGGAGCGCGTCGAAATGGATTTCCAGACCCCGAGCCAGAGGCGGGGGCCCTGACAAATTTTTCACTTGAACTACCGCCAACTTAGGAGCTTGGAACGCGGTGAACTTTCGCGGGGTTCAGGTGGTTCTCATGGCGAAGCTTGCTTCTAGTTCAGGCCTCGTATGTAACAGTATACCAACTGAGCTAGTGGCGAGGTGTGGAAGATCGATTTTCAATATTTCTCCATTTGAAACTACGGGGAGGAATCGATTATCAAGGTATTCTTTTCAAACACCCTGTTCATCGATCCTTTTCCGTTGGATTAAATGGCAAATCAATCGGCCGTATGACATGAATATGTTCAATTTTGTCACTCCTGGAAATCACCATAGATCCCAAAAAATTTTTCAGTGCTCTTCTCTACAACGAGAAAAAAAAGGTCGATTCATACAGCACACCTAACTTTTCTCGTCTAGGTAACCAAACTTTAGTTCGGCTTACCGAAAACTTCGGCTACCGGAACCAAAAAAGTTCGGTGATCAATATGAACCGAAGTTAGGTCCCTCGGACCAGACATTTCGTCGATTCCCGCACGAGGGGACGTAAATCCATTCCAAGGTTGCAAAATTGACTCACACGATACAATTATTATGAAAGAGTGTACTCGTGCAATGTATATTAAAAAATTGTCTGATTTTTGCATGAGATAAGAGGAATCATCAATGAAATTTTCCGTTGGAAATGTCCAAGAATGTCCAGGTAAAAATGTAATGTTCGAAAGAAGATTTGGCAACGTTGGAATGTAGTTACGTTCCTTCCTTCGAGAAACGACGATGTATTCAATGTTGACGCAAGGTCTATATACTTACATTGCGTCAACATTGAGAATTCTAGATCGGCTCGGAAAAATTTAGAATCACAAACCGAGGAGATCTGATTCGGCGAGCAATGCACAAAGACTAAAAAGAGAACAATTTAATTGCGCAAAAAATCTTACAAAGAAGGCGGATACCGAAGTTGGGAGTAAAATTAAAAGATCAAACTGAAAGAGCTTCTCACTCGATAAGAGGATTAAGTCTTAAACCAGTGCAACTACGAACGGAGGCGCCAAAGTTGGAGGGAAAATCTTGGAAAACCCTGCGCCGAGTCGATGATTTCGCTGCGGAGGAAGAGACTTCACAATCGCGAAAAGGACGCGGCGCGACGCTCAAAGCAAGCGGAGTTGCGCGTAACTTCCAGAGATTGGAATACTGGGTTTTATTAATTGCTCCGCGCCTGTTTGCGTTAAGCCTCTTACTCAGCGACTCGGTCAATTCAACTACCGACATCCAACAAGTTCGCTGCCTTGTTGAGGGAAAATACCTATAAGTGCTCTCTGGAATGAGCCTCGAGACACTTTACAGTATGTGCTAACCGTGGCTCATATGGAACTGCACTTACGCTTCTCTTCCGTGACACGGCGGTTCGGTAGCCGCTCTACAGTTTTGCAAGCTAGCACTAACTCCGGCCAACTTTTCGTTCGTTTCTGACAAGCGAGAATTCCATTCACCCGCTCTGGAAAAACGCCGCGTGAGCCTTTAGATGGTGCCAGATTTCCGTTTATAAAAACCGAAATCACTGAAAAATTTCTGAACATTTTTCTCCCCAAAGTTTTTCGATGATTTTGTTCGCAATTTGATCTGAAATATCTGAGAATTTCACGGATAAATACTCATAACTTTCCTCAAAGTTATAAGTTTCATCCGGAGAAATTTGGCAACTCATGAACGTTCACACGGCGTCTATGCTAGAGAAGAACACCGTATGAACGTTTGAGATTTCTTACGAGGAAATTGAAGTCAGTCTCATCGAATCCGTTGTTCTCTCCATTCAAAGGATGAGTTGCGGCTAGTTTCAAAATATTTTTAAAGAAACGTGTAGAGTGATGGATTAAAATATTAAAGTTTGTAAAAGTCTCTCTGTCAATATAATTGTTTGTTGCGGTACTCGGTAATATATCTAGAAGTATATGTAATATAGTTAAGTTAGTTAAGTGTAAATAAGTTCTCTGGTCTGGCCCCTGAACTAGAAAAAGAACGCAGCTTTGAGATGCAATCAGTTACTAAGGCTTGGTATAAAATAATGCGACCTCCATTAAACATCATCTAAAAGGATTTTTTATCTTCCCTCTCTTGAGGCAAGCTGTAAAATAGGATGCAAGCTGCATGCTGCAATGCTTATGACGTCGTGGGAAGATTGATGGTGAGTCTCCATCATGGGTCGCGGAAAATGCCTCTCGTGACCACGAGGGGAGTAATTTACTTAGAACTGGACTACATTTTGCAATAAGGAACTACACTTTTTGGCTCGTTTCTGAAACAACATGTGCGTCATACTTCTTTCTACGCAGATAGGTATTTTTACGTATAGTTCCTTATTGCAAAATGATGTCTGACTGATATAATAATTAACATAACTTTGAATTAATTCTTGATTTTAATTCTTTTCTTTGAAAAAAAAAAAAAAAATGGACATGTACACTTTGAGACACTAATCAAGATACGCGCTTTCGAATTTTCACCTGAAATTCACTATCTAAACATGTTGGTAGCGGTATTTAAAATTTCTATAAAATAACAGTCACCTCTTTAAGTAGTGCTCTTGAAGATGGGGTAATCCCGAAAGGCCTCGAGCGTATATGTACGAATATAACTGAAATAAATGTAATGCATGGTATAAAGGTGACTCTTATTTTATTGAAATGGGCCTGTTGCATGCAAGAGATACAGCCGCGCGAATAGACTGTTTAGATGTTATATGACACGAAAATTACGATGGTCACATTAAAAAAGTCTGAAATACACTCCTTACTGCGCAATTTGCGTTGTTAAGAACGCGCTTTTTCAAATTTCCCGCGTCTGGGGGCAGT